TGCATTTGATGGACGATTCACGTGAATTTGAATCTCCGATTCACATCGGAATGTTATAAGTGTGATATATAATTTAATGTATAATTCTTTTAATCAATTAATATTTGTCATCCATATAAAAATTGCTTAAACACAGTACAATAAATTCATAATTATATTTACAATAAGATAAAACCCAAATTATTGTATTTTACTAGTAATATATTACAATTATTATAATACCTAATATTATTTAACGTACTTTATATTTATTAAAATACAAGAAAACTAGATCATTAGTTATAACTTTATATTCTTAAAGATTTATATAATACATCTATAATTATATAACATGTATAAAAATAATTAATTTTTTAGCATTACTTAACACCATTAAAACACAGAGATAAGGAAAACAGGAATTTCAATTTCTTAAGATACAAATACAATTTTGTCCTTACAGTAATTCACCGAAGCCATACCAGAAAATAGAGAATAGCGAGATTTTACAGTTTCATATTTCTATAGATTTTCGTTTACGGGTCACTTCTATTTTGCATATCCGTTTCCTTCACATCGTAATCGCATATCTATGAAGGGGTTCCATCCTAAATAGATTTCCACAGATCCTCCATGAAAGTTTGATATAAGAATATCAGATTTCTTAGGGTCTATTTCTATGATTCTTATAAATCTTAATATTTCGTATAGAAAAGAATAGAAATTTCGAAAATAGCGTTCTAATTGTCTTAAATTCTTATTCTCTTTTTTTTGTGTCGTATCGCTGTACTTTTATATTTCGGTATTTTCACCATCAAACTTTCTTTCTAATGATAACAATCTTTTTAAATTTATAAAACGTTTGCTGGAGTGTTATGGCTCTCGCGTTCCGTAATATCCGTGCGACGCGAACGTAGAGTTTATAAAAACCGAACATAGAAATTTTATTGCTCGAAAGTGCGATGAGTTTTTTTGTTTGCCTCCTGCGTCTTCGTCTGCGTTGCAGAAATACGGTCGTCATGAATGGTAGGTTCTTTTTATCGCTCGCGCATCCGGAGATGCGTTTCCGTGACATTGCGAAACTCGTAAAAGGGACACGTCTGAACGCGTCAAGAGCTTTTTTTATCGTTTCCGTGCAGCGTATACGCTGCAAATTGCGATTGTACTGCAGAAACATAAGTGTCGATCACGAAGATATATTTTTATTATGCATCCAATTTTACATTGACAAACGAACGCAGATGCGTTCTTTGTGATATTCTTCATGTTCAAACGATGTCAGTACAACGCAAATAGCATTTATATATAAGTTATCTTTCATTTGAATTTACGTTTCTGGTAACAAAACATAATGTCCTTGTAATCATCCCATTTCTCTACGCGTATGCGCAGTCGGCAGGGAAATACGATGAGATAACGGTTTGGGTGAGGAGGGAACGAGAGTGGAGAAGTCAAGGAGCAGGTTTGTAATTCATATTAGAGTCTCAGAGGACAAAGCAATCAAGTCGCTCAGAACGAGCGGTTGTGGCGCAGACTCGCCTGGACTTCCGCGTCGAATTAAACTTACAGATCCGCCAGGTACACAAAGAGGTGAACAGACACGGAGGACCGACGAATAAGAGAGGGAAGGGAAGGTTGTCTGATCAAATGAAAGGAAAATATTGTATTTTTTATGAGGAGAAGGGGGAGGTCGTTTGGGAGACAGGTTTGGAGAAAACTCGTGCGAGGGAAGTCGATGGACCGTCAGGAAAGCGGAGAAAGAAGATAGAGAATAAGGTCGTTGTTGGAAAGAAGATCAAAGTTGAAATGTGTTGGCGGTTTGCAAAAAGAAAAGGGGCTTTCCAAGTGCTTTATTACACGATGACAGGCTTTCAACAACGCCCAAGAAGCCCGCGGTTGCAATCAGGGTTTTAATGAAAATGTAAATCCGCGAGCGTACATCCGGTCATCCGGATTTTGTAATCTCATCCGGAGGCTTTTGATAATATTTTTCTCCCTGTGTGAAACGATCATGTGTGTCTTATGCAGTCCGAGTTGCGGGCAATTAAACTCTTCCGTCACGGAAAATAAGCATCGAAGAAAAACGAAATCGTGCGAGTTTGAAATTACCAACGTGAAGCAGGATTTATGTAATGAAATTTTGTCTGAGTCTTTTTCGTATATATGTATGTATGTGCAGGAATTTCGAACGAATTTCGATAGAAGATTAAAAGTGAACAAATGTAGTTTGTACCGCGTTTTCACCATCATTACCAAATCAACGATCAATTTAATTGTGATATTATTATTTCAGCTTATGTTTGAGTTCGACATGTTTCGAGTTCGACAGTAAGCGGCGCCCATTTTAATTGAAAGATACTTATATTTAGAATTTACATACACAAATATTATTAGGAATTATTATTAGGAAATAAGATCTAACGTCGATCGTATTGATCCTTTCCTTACTTATTTAAAATAAAAATCTCAACAAACATGCAATATCTGCTGGATGTTGTGAGATACGAACATGGACTTATAATAATCGCGTGCATAATCAGTATATCTGTTTATTGTAAAAAGCCGTATTTCGCTACGAGGATAAAAATATCATATTTCCTAATCGTGCTACATACAATCGTATGCTATCAAACGAAATCTTGATTTCTGTAAAGGAAAAAAGAAATTAATGGTGTTTGATTAACAATAGTCTTCCCGTATCATTATTAATGAATGTTAATGTACATATGTAAACATTTGTGATGGATATTTATATAGACGACTTAACGCAACGATATAACATATCTTGATGCTCGGACGGTCCTTAATGAAGATGTAATCACGATGGTTATTAGATAGGCTCGCGTGCGCTTTGTTATTAGAACGAAGTTCGGCAAACCGCGAGGAGTTAACTAAATTCTGACGAACCCGTAGCGCGAATTCGATGCCCACGTATTCCCCTCGCATTATAGGCCGAGACTATACGACATGTACTGGATCCCGGGTGCGAGGCACGAAAATCTTGGGCTTGGCGTGAAAATGATTTCCATCACGCACCAGGCATCGCCGTGCCCGTTTTAATCCAACGCGAAGCGCATGCAACGACGATAATTGACGACCATCGTGTATGAAGACGTTGCGCAACGTGAGAGTCGGATTCGGAACAGAGTAATTTGAGTATCTCGCGCCGTACGCGTTATTATCGTTTCAATTTCTCGACGTAGATCCAGATTTAAATCGGACATTTATTCCTTCAATATCGTCATAGACGTCTCGGGTAACTACCGCTTTAATAAATAACGTTTATCGATAACGTTTATAAATAACGCGTTTCGTCGTTGGCATTATGGAATGTAATATGCAGGGGATTATGGGATTATTATTTGAGACTTATGGTAAATATTAGATGACCGATAGAATTCGCATTAATGGAGTCCGGTTGATCGTCCTTAATTGCTTCATATGATTTTATTCTTTAAGCTTCAGCAAAGCAGTCTACTGACGCGCAACGCTGCCAATACCACGAAGATAAATTTTCAAATATTTACGCTTTAGCTACACTCTTTGATTGAAGCATATTGAACGAATCGGAAAAATTTATGATGTATTAATAATTTTATGTGTTGCCGTTGAAATGTTTCAAAGTATCAAGTGGACCGAGATGGGATCGATGCTCTGGAGGATATTCTGAAACATCACACAGATTAATTCTCAATTGCAGCTATAAAAACTACACCAATTTCTAAAGAACAGGATGTTTAAACAACAGGATGCAAATAAACCTCTGCCTTACGATTGATTAGAGGAATAATCAAAGTTTTTTTACTTACAGTTTAGAAATTCACAGTACCAATCGTACAATCGCAAAAAATTTTTTCGCTTTGGATTCAAATTACGTTATGCAAGAAACAAAGAAGAAATTCAATGATAACAAAATGAATTAAAAAGGACATAAGAATTAATTGGCAGAACTTGTTAAAAAAACTCGGTAAAAAAATTATAAAATAAAAAGTTTAATACGATAAAGCTTCAATTACATAATAATAAATACGTTAAACTACATGATTGTGGTATTGTATACGTTTTTTAAAATAATAATGATAATAATTTAATTTATTGTGAGTAAGATAAAGATAAAGAGAAATTTAACGTATTTATTATTATGTAATCGAAGCTTTATCGTATTAAACTCCTTACTTTGTTTTTTTTTTATGCAACAAGTTCTGTGAGTTCAGTAAATTCTCTTATTTTTTAAAATCATTTTGTTATTATCAAATGACGTTGCTGTAGTCGAGAGTTATATCGCAGGATGCTTTCCAATTGCTTGACACGTACACAGGAATACACAAACATACACGGGAATGTACAAAAAGTGTAGCATTGTGCAAGATTCAATTGGAACGGCATGTGTATGCTGTCCACGGTTTCGGATAGAGTTAGATTAAATGTAGTTTTTTTTCCGTCTGTATTAAACGAAAAAAAAAAGCAAAATTCCAGCCACTCAACGTTCTCTAATCTCATTTATAACCGCTGAGATTAGTAACATGTCATTGTGACTAGAAAATACACAGCCGACTAGTCATCCTCGGGCTGAGTACGGATGTATAGTGTTAGTGTTGACGATTACAGCAATTGTGGAACGCAACTTGGTGTCGTCGAAAGTGTCTAGTGATTTTACAATTAAAAAGCACCCGCAGTTAATGCGAATTATCTCTATGGGTGCGATCCACTTCACGCTGCAAATGCTTTGCAGCATTCTTTGGTCAATTCGTGAAATTCTTTCTTCTAATTAATCAACGAAGCATTTACAGCGTTAAGTGGATCCTATCTTACAATAACCGAGACGTTTTTCCTTCAAGGTCCTGAATTCTCACCGAATTCTCACCTGGTGTTCCGTCTCGACCCGAGGTCGAGACCGGAGTGTCATCGGTCGTCGGGGCGCACGTTGCGGCGAATGGACGGGTACTTCGTGACACCTCGGGTCCATTCGGCTGGCGAACGGAGCCGCCGAAGTACTCCGACCGAAGTCGGCCGCAGTTGCTTGTGGAGTTCGGTGCCGCGCGTCAGTGCTCCAACGGACGCGATTGCGCGCGTATATTTAACTCGATTCGGTTCTTAATTCGTCACCCGGCTTCCATTCGCGTCGCGTCGCGGAGCGCCGTGTGAGAGAAGCGATCGAGTGTAACCGCGAGATACCGTGCGTCGTGAGTGTCGTTGAGTGCAAAGTGCGCGTGTGAGTGAGAGAAAAGGAAAGGCGAGATCGCGACGGTGTGAGAAAGCGGTGGCCGTAATCGTTTGCGGAAAAAGACGAGATCGCTACGACGCATCCAAGAGTTGCTACGCGACATTCCGAGCGTTCCCGACATTCCGCGCGAGCGCCCAACGTGTGCCGGAGTATAAAGAGGCTGCTCCTTCGATTTCGACGCGGCGTTCACGCGGCGAGCCCTTTCGCGTTCCGTGTCTGTTGTGACTCGTTCCTCTTAACGTCTCGCGCTCGTGACTCTCGTCAATTAGCATTCGTTGCTCCGAAGAACCGTTGGAGCCTGCAGAACCAGAGAATCGGCGTGTGTGACGTACGCGCCCCATTCACGGTTAACTTCATACATACGCGCACGCACATATCCACATATACGTCCGTCGGTGAATTCACGCCAGAGATTACACGCGAATGGAGTGACGTGGCAGCGCGTGCCACAGCCGGTTGTCGCCAGTCATTCTTTTTTTTTTACGTTTTTTATTAAACCGCCACGCTTGTTCCTCCGCGCAGGGTGCGTCTGTCAGTCCAGCTCATTCCCGTTCATCGGAGTGCATTTCAACACGGTGTACTCCGATCGTCGATAATCGACAATTATCGCTGTTGTTATTGCCGCGCCCGGCTGGACCTGTCCAAAGTACAATCGGACGCTAATCGTTGCGCTCCAATTTCGACGTTGAAACGGCTCGAAATCGTCGCCGTTGATAATCGGTTGGTAGATCGGGAACGCGCGGCTTTCCACCAACGCTCGACTTTCGCCGGCTCGCCCTCGTCGGGACATGCAACAGCTCCGCGTGACCTTTTAAGACGCAATCTGCATTCGGCTGGAATAGCGCGATCGTGCTGGAAACGGTCGTCCACCGACTGTGTTGCATCGACGATCGAACTTCGAATCTGCACGCGAAATCCCCGTGGATTCGTTCGTCACGTGCCGTCACGAAAGAAGGAAGGCGAAAGACAATAAGAGTCGGCGTTGCTGCGACAAAGATAACACCTCTTGACACGTGACGAAACGACACGCCGATCATCGACCTTGTCCCTTCGTGTCACGTTGTACTTTAACGCAAGAATTAGCGAGGCCCCCAGTAATCGCTGGCCGTTTCAGTGAGCCAAACTGGACGGGATTATCGTTTACGCGAGTTCACAAATTTTAAGGAAAGGATACACCGTGCGATCGATCTCTTGCCTTGAGAGAGATACCTAGACGTCTTACCGAATCTTCTACTGCCCATCGTTCTGTGATAAAACCTGTGATATTACCGAGATTTCACCGAGATTGATGAGAGAACCTTCTTCTTCGTCTCCGGAAATCGGTAAAATTTTGAAATCTTTATTTACCGATTCTCTACACACACAGAAAAATATCATTCTGTTGTCAACGATGAATTCGATCTCTCGCATTACATTCGATTAATGCATATTAAAAGCTGTTTCATATAAATATCCAAATACAATGCAATAAATGAACTTTGACAATGAAATAATTATATATGTATATTCCGTTAAATGATGTGATAGTATCATTATATTAAGTATTTATTCCTTTAAAATAATTTATATGCTTTTACATTTAACTCTGTTAATTTCATATACGGCAGTTTTTAGTATACATTAAATAGTGTTATGCAAGTGACCGAATTCGCTATAAGAAAAGTGACTATCTTAATTTAATTTCTTTCTTCTAAGTAACAGAGTTGTCTCTAACAAAAATATTTTCCTGATGATAATCTTAAAAAAAAATATATGTATTACAAATTTTTAAAAAATTAATTAATGATCATATGTATTCTAAACAAGAATTTTTTTTAAAGAATATTATGAATTGATCGAAGGAGCGACTTTATGCTTGTGATGAACTTATAATAGATTTGCGAATGTGGACGAACTTTTGAAATGTTTGAAGTAATTATTATTTACGTACAGTGTGTATTTTTCTGTGTGTATACAGTCACGAAACTAATTGTCTGGACATAACGCGCCATTATATTAGTGGGTGTTTTTTTTTTTTTTTTTAAAACTATTATTCCAGTATTAAAAATTGTGGTTTTACGTATGCATTACAGCGTTAATATAGTTTACATTTAGACAACAATTGTGAACCTAGTATTATCTGAAAAATGATATGAAGGAATTGCCGATATAATGACGCATTGTTTGGGTAATTAAGTTTTATAATTGTGACTGTATCTTATGATAAGATAAAACGCAGTAGTTTACAGGCTGTAATCGATTTTCTGCTATCACGTTGCAACTCAAATGATAGTTTACGTTACATAACATATCGCTCAATAATTCCGATAAATTAAAGCGATATTGTAATGACGTAACACTTATTGCTAAAGCCGTTCGAATAAAGAATTCGTATCCGCTACTGCGTTTATAGCTTAACATGCGTCTGCAGTCCTGCAATTGAGGTGTCATTAACGGAATTGTTGGAAGATCGCGAAATATTTTTTCTATCGCGCATAGAGATGAATTTACGAGGCTGATCCACTACCGGACTACCGATTCGCGAGCACGTTAGATTCGAAAAGGAAGCGAAGAGAGAGAATGAGATCCCAGGATTTTTCGATTCAACGAAGATGTAGAACGGAAAGGAACAAGCACGGCAATTTTCTGACCGTACTCTGTGACCGCTAGCAAAATTTAATCTTTCGTACTAAGCTATCCACTTAGCGATCTTCTGTGAGATTATTAAATCTTAATTCAATTATGTTTCACAAAAAGAAACTAGAAACCAGCGAATGAAATACGATTAATTCTTTTGTATACAATTTGATTCAATTTTTAATCGCTTTTTTTGTCAAGACTGCAAAGAAGTTTTTAGTTTAAAAAAAAACTCTGTATAGTTGAGTCTATGTAGTTGAGAAAAGTTATTACTAGAAAGTTAAAGTTATTACTAGAAAAAGTACTAATCAAAATTAATACGGCATTTACATAAATAGAAAATCCTTTGATTAACGTTTGATAAATTTTAACTTTAGTAACATATCAATCGATTTTAGGAATAAAAAGCTCTTACGTCCATTTATACCAATGTAGAATAACTTTAATCTCGGTTTTGTTTACTCTTTATGTTTTCTAATTCTTAGATGTGGGAAAACCAACGGGAAAACATACAAAACAAATTAAACCGAGATTAAAAGTTAGTTTAAATTGATAGAAATGGACATTAGAGATAATGTCGACTGTAATTTTCGTCCTTGCATCAATATTTTTTGTTTCTCACACAGAAAGGTTTTGTTGAAATATTTAAAAATTTAACTAAATACAGGTCTGAAAGTAATTTTGTTGGACATCAAAATAATTATGTAGGATGCTGAGACTGATTACTAGAATGTGAAAACTTTACGTAACATTGCTCATCATGCTTGAAATTCCTGCGTAATTATTTTAATAATCTAGCAAAAATTATTTTCAGATCTGTGTATCTAACTAAACTTTTAGACACTTCAGCAAAATCGTTTTCTTTCCATGTTCCGCTTTAAAATCGCGAAACGAAGTATATGAGTTTTGATATCTATAACTCATGGTCAATATTACATAAGCGAAGTTATTTCTGAAGAAGCGTATGTCATTTGCTTGTCCATTTAACACGAGATTCTCATCGAGAGTCTCGTTCGTGATTTCTGCAGGGAATTTCAATATAATCGAGAAAACATCTTCACGATGCGTGAGGGTGCCGGTTGAAGCCGACGACCCCGAAGAATGTTGACCAAGGCCGTTGAGGTCTATTTATAACGCGACAGTAACGAGGTAGTCATTTGTGGAGAACCGTATTTTCAGATGTCAAATCCGTGCTGAAAGCGCTATTCGGTGAATTATCCTTCCCGTATCTCCAGAACGTACACGCGAGTTTTTGTAATTGCACTCATGGTATTATACCGCGTCAAACGCTCATTAGTATAACGAATTTCGTAAATTAATATTTAATGTGAATCTTTCTCTTTTTAACTGTTTTATAAAATTTATACAATTTTATTTGAATATTACCATCAATGTATAATTTAGTGTTTACATTATTATCGTGATTATACGTGATGTGGTAAAATTTAATTGATTAACTTTAGACATTTGGATAAAGGTAAAAAAGTAAATAGTTTATTTATAGAACAAATATATACCTTTTTTGCTGTCTACGATAGAAATTATTTTTATACGTTTGAAAAGTTTTTATATTTGCTTTATCACACGTTGATATTCTTTATCTATTTATTAGGAAAAATAGATAGTACTGTAGTATTTGCGATACCAGCTACATATTCGAATCATAATTCCGTCGAATTTTAATGGCTTCGATGAGTGTTAATTAAGTGGAATGCTAATTTATTCATTTAATTTCATTTATATGATCTCTTTCTGATTCATATCTACAATTTGCAATTTGTAATTAATATTAAAACGAGGCATAATTGATAATTTTACAATAACGAATCATTCTACTCACTTCTTCACATCTCGTGCACGTTTGTGATTACCAATCATAACGAAGGTAAATTGCGACAATCAATTGAAACGTTTCCCTCATTTGTTTATCTTCTCGCGATTTTATTTATTTTGACCTGTTTTTTTTTTGGCACGCCCTAGAAAATTGATTTTGTTTACGACGCAACGATATTTTTGACCGATTCGAAGATTTTTTCCATAAGTACATCGAATGATGTAATTTGAAAGATAAATCTGGTTGGCTCTCGTGACATATTTAAGCTGCACGAGTTTTCGGTGCCTAGGCTTTTCTAATACGCGAAAAATGTGACGCGTGCGCTTGGAAATTCCGCGCCTGCGGTCGTAATTCGACACTTATCGGTTGTTTTTCCAGCCAACGTTTCTATTCACGACAGAAAACGGGAGAAGAACTGGGACACTTGCGTTTGGCGAATATGAAAGTCTAATGTGTGAATCTAAAACGTATCCCGTATCCTTTCACCGAATCGGCCCGCGAAAAAAAAGAGCACGAAATTGCAGAGGCACAGTCGGAGAGTCGGAGTCGTAAATCTAAACGCTCGGTTTTAAAGCGTCTCGCGACGGGAGGTGAGAAAAAGGAAAACGTCACGCTAAATGGTGACCCCTAATGCAACGTGACCTCGCCGTGCATATCCCACGTTCGTACAAATTCACGAACCGGCAGATAGCGGGCGGTACGTGGCGATTCGCCGCGTCGGTAAAACGTTGCGGATACGAAGCTACTTTGCATTATGCAGGGCAGGCAACAGGACACGGGTGCTTTTAAAAACTATATACATTGAAAAAGTTCCCGTTCTGCGGTGAGTCCGAGGGTGAGTCAGTCCAAAAATTTAAATTGCACTCTTGTACAGCGCGGCGCACCTTTATATCGCGTCTGTTGCTCTCTCTCTCTCTCGCTCTATTGTTCCTCTTTTCTCTCCATTTCCCCAGTGTTAGGCCGATATGCATTATGCAAAGAGTTACCTCGATAGCTGCAATCAAGGAAGAGAGCCGCGCGACGGTTGGCCGTTTTGGGAAAGCGAGTAAACTGCCGCGTAAGAGAATAAAGCGATGAAAATCCACGTTGCGCCCGGGGCGTCGTAGCGAGATGTCACGTTGCATTGGATCGTCTCACAAGCGGAACATTAGCACGCTTGAAGAATAATGGCCAAATCCGTGAGGCATTTGAGGATTGGGCTTATCAAGTAACGTGTAAGTGAACAAAATGTCTCAGCTGTGACAACTTTTTATGCTCACAATGTCCCTCTTGTGCACGTAAACCGACGAAGAGTTTATGACAGCAGTGAGTTATCGTGATGATTAAAATTTGCTGACTTTTTCTGAAACGTAGATTTTGATGTAGATTTTAATTCAAAGTACTCGTATCAATGAAGGTGTATTCGTGTTTTTTCCTTAAAAAATTCATGTTAATTATTTTACGTTCAACAAGATTTGAATAATTATATTAAATTTCTCCTATTGATTCGTCGATACTGCAAAGTATAATTAACAAATACCACTTAGTCGCCGCGTATTATCGTACAATCATCAACAGAATTACTGTTCTGTTTGACCATTGTTCCTGGCAATCATACTAGATAGCGTGAGCTACTGGCACGTGAAAGGTCAGCGCAGATCATCGCGTAATATATTCCAGTATCTCACATCTCAAAAGCGTGGGTTGATTTTGCACATCCACCGTCGTCGCGTCGTTCAAATCTCTGTTTACACAGCCGATTCACGTTCAACAACTGTCATTTACAAACTTTACGGTGTACGTGGTTCACATGTCATGGACGCAATGTATTTGTATCATATGACCATGAGTTGGATAAAGTTATTTACGATGAATAAAGAATGACGTAAATCG